CATCTTCAAATCCTTCAAGAGAAGCAACTTATTTGGATGGAAATTAGTTTTTTCTCACCAAGAATAGGCACCTACGTAGAAGCAGACAGCAGCAGTTTCTGAATCTGTCGGCGATGGACTATTGGAGAGATGGAGGCGGAATATCGGAGAGGCGTTGCGCTGGTAATGGTCAAGTAGGAGAGAAACGATTTCGGTCTTGGGAGCTTGTACACCCAGCAGTGCATTACAGTACCATCACCTAGGGCAGTGACAGTCGATCGGAGGACCAAATTGGTAAAGCCGGATCTGAGGCTCCAGTTTCTTGATGCAGTTAAGCTGAAGCATTTAGACATAGCAGCGTCTGTGGTCTCCGGTGACGACGAGAGGAAGGCCGAGAGAGAAGAGAGAGCGAGGAGGGATAGACGATATAGAGGGGGTGGAACTGGGCTTGGGAAGAGACGACTTAGATATGGGATGGAAAATCAGGTTTAATTAGGTTTTAATTAACACCTGATTTTTGATAAAATAAACACTGCACCTGATTTTTGAATTTGATAACTTAAATACCTGGTTTTAGGTAATTTTCTCGTTTCCTTATCACATCCAGCCCAACAATCCAGCAGGCCCATCAACGAGCAAAACCAAACAGAAACTAATTCAACAGGTAAACGGCGTCGTATAATAGATTGCAGTAATAATGTACATACATGTCAAGACTACCCCCATTAGTAAAGTACAACCCGTTAAGGAACCAAATTCGATACACTATATAATGGCCACTTATAAATCTAGGGTTTTTACTGAGCACACAACAAACCCCTTATCAGCCGAAACTCAGCCGCTCAGCCACCGCAATGGCCGTCGGGTACTCTTATCTCATTCTATTTACATATACATTCAAACATATAATTGTTAGTATGATGTTTAAAAATGGTATTTTGGATGTTAATGACGACGGCATTTTGTTTCGTGGTGTAGAAAGAACAAGAGGATTTCGAAGGGAAAGAAGGGTGGGAAGAAGAAAGTGTAAGTTCTTATTTTTAATTATTACATATTAAATCCTAATAAAATATTGTCTTTTTTAAGCTAATAGATATGTATCATGCATATGTGTGTTTAGAGTTGACCCATTTGCAAAGAAGGATTGGTACGACATTAAAGCTCCTTCAGTTTTCAATACCAGAAACATCGGCAAAACTCTAGTTACGCGTACCCAGGGAACCAAGGTATAGTTTCGATTTATTGGAATAATACTCTTTAATGAAAAATGATATCTGGATGTGCTTTATAGGTTTTTAAAACTTTCTGTTAGATCTATGAGATCATTTTATTTTTCAATTGTATTTCATGTTGAAAGTTATATAGCTCGTTGCCTTTGAATATTTATCCTTTCGCTTACTGTTTTATTACGAATGCATGAACAATAAGGTTTCTAATTATGGAACTTGGTGCATGTAGTGTTTAAAGTTCCTTTACATCATGCTCATTCCATTAATAAAAAAAATGCTTATTTACTTGCATGATTAATGTGATTTTCACGCTCTATTACTGTTTACATTTTTGAGTACTATGTAACTTTTGAACTTGACATCCACCATTTTGTTTTATGGAAAATGCATTTTTACAAGCTTTGTTATTTCAAGATAGAGTTACAACAATTTTAGTTCTTGCATATATAGTAAGTCCAGAAAGGTATCTATTACACGTGAGCCTACAAAAGTAGGTGTTAAATGGTTGTTTTATTCTTCTTATATCTTTATTTCCTCAGGTTAATTTATTATTTGACGAGGTAATCAATTTGTGATTTGATTACTAATATGAGAGTTAAGTAATCTTTTGTTGAAATACTGAGAGTTCGGTTGTGTCCAAGTAATGAAAAATGTTTTAAGGAAGACATTCACAGCGAGAGTTAAGCATTAAGTTAAGAGTCCAATTGAACCGGTTGTATTTAGTGGTTCTTGCACTAAATTATTTTTCACGGGATGCTGTCTAGTGTATTTCAATTGAACTATTGTCTTTTACTTGTAAGTTACAACTTACAACTTCTATGACAAGACAAGTGACAAGTCATTCATTCTATTATGACGTATATAATAATATTACTATTGAGTAAAATTGTTTATGTGCACAATTTGTAATTCGTTATATAACCTTGGAGTCTTGTAATATTTACTACTATATTTTGAGATTGCCCAACCACTAATGTACTAAATCACATTTTCTCATTGACCAGAATATGTCAATGTATAGTTGTGCTTCCAGGATACTGATTTCTACAAAAGGTTCTAGTTTTTTATGTGAATAAATCACAAATTGAATAAAAGTAAACAGGGAGCAGTTTTTGGTATAGATCTGAATTATAAAATAGTAGGATGTTTGAAATCTTGCCCAACTTTACCTCCCAACTATTGTAAATTTCTTCCATATATTACTATTTTTTGAGCTCGTATGTGTTGTAATTTTTCTCCCATGCATAAGCAATGAAAAAATGTTAATAAATAATCAATTTCTCAATCAGATTGCATCAGAAGGACTTAAGCACCGTGTATTCGAAGTGTCCTTGGCTGACCTTCAAGGTGATGAGGACCACTCCTTCCGAAAGATTCGATTGAGAGCTGAAGATGTTCAGGGAAAGAATGTTCTCACGAACTTCTGGGTATGATCTAATTGTTCTGTTCTAAAATTGTGTGCTTAATGAAGTTTTGATGACTGCTAATTTTTCGTTGACCAATTACAGGGTATGAACTTCACAACAGATAAATTGAGGTCACTTGTGAGGAAATGGCAATCACTGATCGAGGCTCACGTTGATGTCAAGACAACAGACAACTATACATTGAGGATGTTCTGCATTGGATTCACTAAGAAGCGTGCGAACCAGCAAAAGAGAACATGCTATGCTCAATCAAGCCAGATTCGCCAAGTAATTTCCATTTCAAATAGCAACATTCGTATAATCATATTGCTATTTCAGTGATAAATTTTCTAGCTGAGGATTTGATAGAAATTATGCATTAAACAAGTCTCATCATTGTCATAGTCAAATTTTTTATGTTGGAATTCTGTGTTATTATTTGTTTTATCATTATAACTTATCCTTGTTTGGTTTTCTTAGATTCGGCGGAAGATGCGAGAAATCATGATCAACCAGGCACAATCTTGTGATCTAAAGGATCTGGTTCAGAAATTCATACCTGAGTCAATTGGTAAAGAGATTGAGAAGGCCACTTCAAGCATTTATCCTCTGCAGAATGTGTATATTCGGAAGGTCAAGATCTTGAAAGCTCCCAAATTTGACCTTGGCAAATTGATGGAGGCAAGTTTCTTTTTTCTTAATCATTTGATTATATCATGAATTCCATTGGGTGAAGTCCAACTGGAAGTTGTATTGAATGATTAAAGTCTCATAATGTCCTTGATATAATGAACTTTGTGGGATCATGTAGGTTCACGGTGATTACAGTGAAGATGTTGGGGTGAAGTTGGACCGGCCTGCTGAGGAACCAATGGCTGAGGAAACTGAAGTAGTTGGTGCCTGATTTGGTGGATGTCTTCCAACTTCTTGTTATCTTTGTTTTTCAACTGATATTTATGTTTCTTTGATTTGACAAGAACATGATATGTACTTTGAATTTTTCGGAATGATGAGTAGAAACTAGAAAGAGATTGTCTTGGATAGTATAAAAATTTCTGAAACTATTAAGTTGATTTTTCGTGGTTGATTTTATATAAAGTTCATCCTCATACTGTCTAATCCGGTAACAGAATTAGCAGAACTGGTAGATTTGATATCCCTTTCAATACTTGGCTGTATCCACTGTGAAATTCATCCCAAACAATTGAAGCAAGGGCATGGATAGTGAAAATGAACTGGAGAAGGTAAATAATTGCTTGTGCATCTTGTATGTGAAGTGAAATTGGGAGCTCCCTTCAATCCAATTAGCGGGCTAACTGCTAAGTCATGCATTGGTTAAAATCTCGACATTGAGCATGACCAAATACATTAGGTGGCAGCTCTAACTGCTTCTCTACCCTTAGTACCCTCCGTCCATCTTGGATTGAAGGGAACTCTCTCTCTCTCTCTTGCGCGCGCGCGCACACACACAAAACTTGTACATGAATTTACCCCCCTCCTATTTTGCGAATGGGACCTGGCTTCTGCTTCCTTATGTACACTTTTTTTTCGCCCCATAAAATAGCTAAAGATGGTCACAGATTAATATGAATTAAGTTACTTCCTTTAATTTGGATTTTCCGAATCTCTTCCTGATCCAAAGTTTATCATTTAATCCCATGATATTTTCAAAGCCGAACATGGAAATCTTACTGGCCCTGTTTAGGCTTTATCCAGAGAGCAGAACATAAGATCTATGTTTCTGGCTACATTCGCCGTCGTAAAATGAAAAACAAAGCTAGTTCACTTCATTGGATACTCTACGCTATCTTGCTTCCTCTGTACTTATCCCCGCTCTTCTGGTTGAAGGCAGTCTAGTTTCGTGCGACTAAATTGGCCTCTTAACATTTTAATAGCATGGATGGCAGAGGACGGTAAAAGCTGGAAAAGGAAGAATGCAGTCTCGAAGCTTTCTGTTGAGTCAGATACGAACTTCTGTTCCTGTTTGAGATTCATTAATTTTTTTGTTATGATTTGTTACATAATCATTTTTAATCACATTCACACAGTAAAATATTTTACACGTATACCTAAAAAATTTCCCTACTTAACTACACATTCTCCTAAAAACCACTATTCAAAACTATTTTTTCTACAATAATGATTGTCAAACAGGCTCTCAGTTATATATTTTGCAGTTAGACGTTAGTGCTCAAATAATCAATGTTTTATTCTCGTTATTTTCCCCATTTCAATGTCAGCTTCAATCTGCTAAATAATTAAAGTCAGAAAATTTAGCAGTTGATGAAAATGGCTCGTTGCAGTGAACAAGAGAGTTCAATATGGTAGTTGATCTCTGTCTGGAGGGAGAAATGCTTCTCGGACAGACTAAGAGGGTGTTTGGTGGGAATTAAAACTAAATTTTTAGTAGATTGTGATAGAAATTTTTGAAATGTGTGATTGAAAAGTTGTGGAATCCATGAAAAATATGGTTAATATTGATTGTTTGACTTTAACTAAAATCTGATTTTAATCTGAGCCAAGCATGGGCTAAATATGTAGTTCAAAAAAAGTTCCAAGTTTATTTTCCAAGGAACTCTATCTAAATTATGGGGTTCGTGTTTTGAATTCCACTGAAATCTTAAAAATGTATTCGACTCTAGGACCCAAGGATTTGTCCCTCCTAAGATACACGTAATCTTGCTTCCTTACATGTCTCTTTATTCTTCTTCTTCCTTAGTACTGTCTTTTATTATTGACTCTTACCTACCAAAATGTTACAAGAGCTCACTTCCTCAACAGGCATCATGCTTTCTCGAGTGTATTAAAGCTTGTATCTTAGTATGTTTATCAAATAGAAAATGTTTCAATGTTGTAAAACATATATGATAATTATGCAGACAACACTATTATACAGCACAAAGGGCAAGCTTCAAGTAAAACAACACAACTCGTATACTACTATAACAAAGATTTCTCCTCACTCGTGTCAAGACTGCTAACTCGGTCGGGGACATTTTCATCTTGTCCATGTTGTAATTCAACTTTAACTGTTAAATGTATCTACTAAAATGTTCGTCCAACAGAACATTTTAATAGCATGGATGGCAGAGGACGGTAAAAGCTGGAAAAGGAAGAATGCAGTCTCGAAGCTTTCTGTTGAGTCAGATACGAACTTCTGTTCCTGTTTGAGATTCATTAATTTTTTTGTTATGATTTGTTACATAATAATTTTTAATCACATTCACACAATAAAATATTTTACACATATACCTAAAAAATTTCCCTACTTAACTACACATTCTCCTAAAAATCACTATTCAAAACTATTTTTTCTACAATAATGATTGTCAAACAGGCTCTCAGTTATATATTTTGCAGTTAGTGCTCAAATAATCAATGTTTTATTCTCGTTATTTTCCCCATTTCAATGTCAGCTTCAATCTGCTAAATAATTGAAGTCAGAAAAATTAGCAGTTGATGAAAATGGCTCGTTGCAGTGAACAAGAGAGTTCAATATGGTAGTTGATCTCTGTCTAGAGGGAGAAATGCTTCTCGGACAAACTAAGAGGGTGTTTGGTGAGAATTAAAATTAGATTTTTAGTAGATTGTGATAGAAATTTTTGAAATGTATGGTTGAAAAGTTGTGAAACTCATGAAAAATGTGATTAATATTGATTGTTTGACTTTGACTAAAATCTGATTTTAATCCGAGTCAAACATAGGCTAAATATGTAGTTCAAAAAAAGTTCCAAGTTTATTTTCCAAGGAACTCTATCTAAATTATGGGGTTCGTGTTTTGAATTCCACTGAAATCTTAAAAATGGATTCGACTCTAGGACCCAAGGATTTGTCCCTCCTAAGATACACGTAATCTTGCTTCCTTACATGCGTCTTTATTCTTCTTCTTCCTTAATACTGTCTTTTATCATCGACTCTTACCTACCAAAATGTTACAAGAGCTCACTTCCTCAACAGGCATCATGCTTTCTCGAGTGTATTAAAGCTTGTATCTTAGTATGTTTATCAAATAGAGAATGTTTCAATGTTGTAAAACATATATGATAATTATGCAGACAACACTATTATACAGCACAAAGGGCAAGCTTCAAGTAAAACAACACAACTCGTATACTACTATAACAAAGATTTCTCCTCACTCATGTCAAGACTGCTAACTCGGTCGGGGACATTTTCATCTTGTCCATGTTGTAATTCAACTTTAACTGTTAAATGCTAGATGATTTTACAAGCAGGTTGTCCTCCAAGGACTTTTGCCTGTCTCAATGCTTGGGGGTGAGAGAAGGAAATGATGGAATAGATTGAAGAATCAGCTTTCTGCCTCTCCTCACCTCGGGGGATGTTCCTAATCCACTCTGATGAGGAGAGACTCTCTTGCTGTTGGGAGATGATGACTTGATGCCACTGTTAGGAGAACCCCCTTGACCAAATTCAGGCATTTCATCTTCCTGGACATTTCCAAAATGCTTATCAGACTTGGTTTGAGCTACAAAATTGCCGATCTTTCCAAATGAGCCTATAGAAGGAAATGAAGATCTAGGGGGTTTATTCTTTGAGGAGAATGGATGCTGAACCAAAGATCTGACAACATGAAAATCACCATTAAAACAGACATGTCGATTAACAAGCTCACAAATCTGAAAAATCTTGTTAATATAATTTACCTTCCACACTGTAAAGGTGTTGCAGGGAGAGCTGAATCTGGATTCTGCTCTAGGTTGTTCTGGATTGCAGTTTTCTGCAAACTCTTGTCCCCCATACTCTTCTCAGTTATATCACCTTCATCTTCTTCCAGCTCAACTTCTGTGCCTATTACATGGGAGCCCGATTCAGTAACCCAAAAATGTTTTAATCCGCAATACGTATCAAATGTGTCATAACAGCGTACTCACCATCCTTCCTACCAAAGACATTCTTACACCCTTCGCATCTGCAGTTAATTGAGCATCCAACACCTCCCTTCAAAAGAAACCAACATCTATCTGTCAGCTAACGAACCAAAGATAAGCATAGGCAATACTCAAAAAATAAATAAACCTGGTAGCATTCACAATATTTCTTCAGGCAACCAGATTTTTTGCAGTTGCATCCTCTTTTATGTCGAGCTGAAGCAGGAGTTTTGCTGGAGTCACTCTGCAAATAAAAAATATATATAAGTGTAAGCAATTGGCAACCAAGCAAAATATAACTCCAGTATTTATTTCCTAACCCGGGTTTCACATAAAGAGTCAGAGCCTTTAATCACTTTGGGAGCAAAAGCAAGTGGGTTTCGGGATTCAATCTGCTTGCGTGTTGCAAGGACAGTGTCTTCATGGACAGGCTTATTGAAGCAATCAATGCAGGAACATGGCTCCACGCAGTAGACACCGGCAGCAAAACATTCGCAGTAACTGGATTAAGAAGTTCAATTAAATAAAATCATTATGTACAGCAATATGCAGGCTTGGCCAAGCCATTTGAGAAGACTAGGCAACCATACAGAGCCCAGGAGACCATGAGAAGATAGGTGGCATTAGTGGCTTGGAAGGTCGGCTGGGTCCTATACAAAGTCATTAGTTGGACCAGTTTGCCGAATGACTGCCACCGAAGGCACATATACAACAATAGTTTCCCAAGTCTAAGCCATGCGTTAATGCTGGGTCAGACTTTGACTATACCCTTAGTAATTCATAGCGGAGGCCAGTTTGCAACGTGATAACTATGCAAGGTATGGGTATAACGATAGTTCCCCAAGTCTCAGCTGAGCATTTAAGTCTATTGGTAAGTAACAAGACAGAGTTGATGACTGCCAAGAACAGTCTCAGATTGTAATTGAAAAAGAACATTTTGGTCAGCATCTCAAGAATTTTATATGCCGGTAGAAGAAAATATCATGTGTTGAGATTCACTTTTAGTTGTCCAACCAGCAGAACCTAAAACAAACTCTAACCAAAATTTTGAATTCAATGTAGCCATTTCCGCAAGCCAACCAGGACAAGACCACCAGATAAAGTAAACATCAACTTCTTAAGACTAAAAAATAAACATGAACCAGATGAAAACAAAATGTCTGATTTATGAAACCCAAAAAACCCAAGTGTGGTATTAATAGACTGTGCAAACAGAGAGAATACAAGAACATACAGTTTCAAGCATTTTGATTTCTTGCAGTTACATCGCTTACAGGCTTCACCCTCTCCGGCTAGTTCCAATTTAGACCTGAGAATCCAATTGAAGCTATAAATAGAAAGGCTAAATGCAAAGGAAAAGGAATTCGGTACAGTACAAACAAGTAAGCTATACAGGGAACATGCCTTTTCTTCTTTGGACTACTCTGAGTGATCTCTTCATTGACTATATATCCAGATGCCTGGGATTCATCTTCCACAGGTGGGACACCATTTTCAACAGTACTAACTTCTCTATCCAGCATGGTAACAGCCAAAGAATTGTTTAACAACTCTTCCTGGGGAGCCGGAGTACGAAACTTGGCAACAAATTTGTAGCCCTTAGGAGTTGTCGTGAGAGCATTTAAGTGCAATCCAATGCCCGCTAAAACACACCGTGAAGAATCACTTCTGTCTTTTGTAGATATTCGTTGTCCATCACTGGATGAAGTGTTCCCATCAGATTGCATCAACAGAGGAGAATCAGAAGCCGAATTCTTGTCCAAATGCTTTCTGAGGGCCCTCGCTGTCTCAAAAACCAGACAGCGCCTTCTCACACCTCGATACAATCCAGAATCAAGCTACAAAAATAGAGAATGAAAACCACATTGTGAAATGAATAAATAAACCATCTCAAAAAATGCACATTCATACACGTCCAGAACTAATTCTCTCTCTCTTTAAACAGATGGTAATCATGATACAGGTAAAAAGAATTCAATTCTGCACCTCATTATCCATGTTCTCACTAGGATTGCTTGTAGAACAACCCGCAACCATGTCATGGGTCTCAGCAATTTCCTTCAGTTCACTTCCTTCTCCAAGTTGACTGGATGGATTTTCAGTTGCACTTCCCTCACCAACTTGTTCACCCGAACCTGCTTCACTGAAGGACAGGGTATTCTGCATATTATTACTAACATTAGCATAGAAACTTTCCCCAGATTGCATTGATTTCTTGCAAAACTCTGTGTTAATGGGTGATTCAAAAATTAAAGGATCAACGGCACTGGAAATAAAACTCTCCCAGTCGCATCCTGTGGCCTCGTTGTCCTGATCAATTTGGTTTGCGCCCTCCTCATTTTCTCGACTTTCATATAAACCTTTCTGGGAGGCCTCTTGAATAAACGGAGCAAATGTTGAGGAAGTGTAAGCATATTCTGCACTGTGTTTGGCACTAAGGTCATTGCTAGTTGTTAAGATGGAGTGAGAGCATCGTGAATCATACACGAGACTTTGACCGAGCTTGATTTCAAGCTTTGAACATTCATAAGATGGCTTATAGATTGCTTCTTCAACGGAACCCTCTGGATAAAGAATTTCATGTGATTTGTCTGATTTATTAGCACCATCTATAATTGGGTCATTTTTATCAATTGTGTTTCCACCATCTGTAGCAAACTCGGGTTTTGATGGATCTGCAAGTTGATGCCTGTAAAGAGACTAAATGAATATGAAATGCACCATAATAGATGCAGGACGAGATAGTAGGAGTAAAAATTGCAAAAGCTCGTGAACTAGATGCATACCGTTTCAGGAATCTAGAACCCTTCAGGGAACTGACATGGGGGGAAGTGAAAATTGATGGAATCGATGCAAAACTAAGAGTATTGACTGTCTGAGTAATGTGTATGGACTTAACTGGTTCAATGGGGGAAAGGTTGTTGAGAAAATTAAAGACGGGAGAGTCCTGCATGCAAGGGAAACATAACCTAAATAAAATCAATTTAAATACAAATAAACCCAATGAATTTGAATCATCAGAAAGAAAACAACTAATGCACTCATATATTTCCTGTTACAAGCACCATATATAAGATAAAACAAGTGAATACAGCCTTGTCCACAAGCCATTCAAGAACACTTATACGTGTATTTGTAGATACATTGAAAGTAAAAGAGAGACATTCTGCAAAGATCATGACAGAAGTGAAAAATGAGATGGGGAGCAAGTGTGAAAAAGTGGAGAGCTAATGTCATCTCAAATTATAATGTTTTGATTTATAGCTCCAGAAAAAGTACTTACTATATCCATTTATTTCATCTGATACCAAAAAATCAATTTGTCAAGTTTTTTCCACTCATCAAATACGAAAACAAATGGTCAAATTACTACCAGATAATAATGACAACTCTTAAATTTCAAATACTCATAGAAAAGTTATCAGAACTTTTCGTGACCGAAACCCAAACTCAAAGGCCATTTAACATAGTCAAATTCATATACTGCTGCTAACAATCCCATAAAGGAAATGCAAGCCAGAAAACAACAATTGCTTGATCAAAATTACTGAAACCAAACATTATGAATAACCAATTATGGGGTTCACGTGAACACTAAAATGGAAGAGATTTATTAAAAAATTTCAAGAAATCAGCCAAACAGTAATGTCCAGAGGCTTCCCCGCACACTAAGAGTTAAAATTAGAGATCACAAAAAATTTAAAAGAGCAGAAATTGGAAGAACCACGAGGATTTCAACAAAAACTCTCAGTAGATAGATTCCACAGATCCAAGATAAACTAACAGGGTCAAAACCCTGATCAAAACTACATTTGAGAAAAAAAAAGTTTTGAAACTTCAGCTACAACTCACTTCTTAAGTCAAAATTCATTGAAGGAACAGTTTTTTTTCCAATAATTTACTCAATAGTCAATACCCTGAGTAAAAGAAAACCACAAATCGAAGATCAATAAACAAAACTGTAACTCAGAAAATCCTTAAGAGAAGCAGAATTTCACCAGTTAATTAAAAACCCACATCCAATTTCCTTTTCAGTACCGGGCATAACAAATCAAAGATAGATCAACTTAACCACAACCACCCAAAAGGACACCTTCAAAAGACTAAACCGTCAATCAAATTACTAAAACAAACCCACATTTCAAGCCTTATCCTATGAACAAAGAAAATAAATCAAGGATCAATCAACTAAACTTGGGGGAAAAAAATGAAGAGCAAAACATTGATACAAGAAAACCATTTCATAACTTCGATTGCAGTGGGCAAAAACCAAAAATCCAAAATCAATTGACCCAAAAATAGGTCAAATCACTAAAAACCCATTACACTTAAACAGTAAAAAGATGCAAATCACACCTCAAATTTGTTGGTGGATGTTGTAACCTGGTTGCTTTTGCTCCTTTCTGGAGTGTCCATCACCACCACCATGACCCCTTTCCCTTTTTCAGTCTCTTTCACTTTCTCTGCTTTCTCCTCCATCTTTACAAAGTATACCTATATTTATAACAATGTATAATTTTTCACTTTTGAATCAACCTGTTTCTTTGACACAACAAACCTTCAAACTTTGCCACTCTGGTCTGAGAAGAAGAAGGGTCAAAAGAGAAATGAAATTCAAGAAGGAGCGGGAAAAGACGTGAATTTTCTTGACAAACAATACTAATAGACTGTCCCCACCACTCACCAAACACAGCTGTTGATGTGTTTACTTTGGAGAAATTTAATATAATGCAGAAGACAGAGGGTTGGGAGACTAATAACGAAAATAGTGACATATCTGCTCGATAAGGCTGTCTTTTTTTTTTTTTACCGTTATTTTCGAAAAAAACAAAAATGAAGCTAAAAATAAATTATTTAACATTTGCAAACTTAGCCCTGGTTTGGTTATCATTTTATAAAACCCATTTTTTTCAAATTTCATGAAATTTACAATTTTTTAACCACTTTTTTAATTAATTTTTCATCAAAATCTACTAGAAGTCAGATAAAAATTAATGAAAGCGTAGTTAAAAAGTTGATAAAAATTGTGGACCCCATAAAACATATAGTTAAAATAATTACGGACTATAACTTAAATTCTTATCAACTTCTTAACTAACCAAACAAGAACTTAGTTTAATTTGAGCTAAATAGCTTTTAAAATACTTCACGATTATTTGAAATTTGTAATTCTTGTTTTGTTTAGTTAAAAAGTTGATAAAAATCTAAATCAGAATCAACAATTAATTTTATCTTCATATTTAGGGGTTGTTTGTTCTCATTTTCAACCACACATTTTTCAATAAAATAATATTTTCCATCGCATCAATAATTTTTTCTTCTTTTCAACCACACATTTCCCATCATATCACTATTCAAAGATTAATTCTTCCTCCAAAAATTCCTACCAAACAAGCACTTAATGGGATCCCTAAATTTTATCATGTTTTCAACTATACAATTCATTAACTTTTATTAAAATCCACTAAAAATATATTTTTTTAGCAAAATCAAGGCATATCTTTTTTTAATATATAAATAGACCCACAAACTTTTATTTCTTAGAAAGATAAATAACTTGTAGCGAAATAATTTTTAAATTTTTTACTTGTTCATATAAACACGCATATCTCATTTAGATATTGAATAGCTATATTAACGTCACAATTTTATACGAGGGCCTACATTTGATTGCATTAAAGCACTTTAACATTCGTTTATTATCATATTTATCTTCTCGACGTATTTTTTATCTCATTATTAGCATTAACCTTCTATTAATTAACATATCTCGTTTTCGATGATTGTTTTTGCCCTCTTAAGAGGGAGTACAAGATTTACTTGCCCCTCGTATATTTCAAATAGAAAATAATAAATACGAACCACGATTAAATATTGTCCTTTATTCTCTAGCACACTACCAGTCTTTTTTACAAAAAATGGTCATTAGAGATATTTTCTTGTGTACTAATTAATGGAAAGTTGATCAGAATGTGAGAGAAAATTATGAACATAAACGTTACAATACATTTAAAAGAGATTAGATATGCCAAACGGGGCTCTTTTTGAGCTGCCTGCAGCGTACACCAAAATGAAACGATGGCAACTCATGCAGTCGAGAGATTATCCGCGTCTGCCAAGGAAAAAACTGGAATCCAAGTCCTCCTATCAACCATTTATGCTTCTGCTGGCAAATGGAGCGATTTTGCAAATGTGAGAAAGCACACGAAAGAAAAAGGAGTTCTGAAAGTTCCTGGTTTAAGCTCAACCGATGTAAATGGAGTCATCCACGAGTCCACTTCGGGTGAAGAATCCCATCCGGAGAAGGTCCTTACTGACTCAATTCTACGAGATAAACTGCAGACTAAGAGATTTGGGTTATGTTCCTGTTCTAATAAATGTTTTGCAGGACATAGACAAACAAGAGAGAATTCTTGCTGAGCCGACACAGCGAGAAACAAGCCATTGTCTTCGGGTTTGTATGTTCAGATCATGGAATGCCTGTACGGGTTGTTAAAAATCTCCTGATGTGTTCCGACTGCCACTCTTTTGTGCTTACAAGTGATTTTCGCAAGGCGGAGGATTTGATTAAAAAAATCACAATCTGTAATTTTAGCGTGCTCTAATACTACTTCGCAATATAGAACAAAAGAATCAACACAAAAAGATCTACCAGAAAATATTCTGAGGACGTAAACCTAGTAGGATTTCAAAAAAGACGTTGTGCATCTTGATATGACAGGGACTTCAATCTGCTACGGCCAGGTAATATTTTGGGGTTCGGCTTCTGCCACCCAAGTCTTTCCAAGAATTCCTCAATCAACCTTAAGAAACAGAAAACAAAAAATCAAGACAATTAGAAAACAAAACCCATAGATTCAAACAATAAAAGACTCCATTTGCACTCACATGCTGCAAATAGCCTTCTGTGAAGATGCCAGTTCGCGATCTGGAAAACTATCTTCCATGTGAAAGCTCAACCAAACATACAGATCCAGGACCTTCAGTTACCGATAGAACAATAATTTAGCAGCAAATCCCGCATTAAGAACAAACATATCCGATAATACAATCTATTTAACCCACATTCAGAAAGAATTACAGTATGACTAGAGCTTTATCAATACACATTTGAAAATAAAAACAGATAATAATTCAGCAACATGGAAGAGGCAACTTGATTCTCCATTTTTCCCAGGTTTAGGAGATTATTGACTCTGTTATGGGCAAACGCCTATTTGAATTCCCTATTTGACCCAAAAATTGACATTTTAGAGGCAGCGTAATTGGAAATTGTACTGGCAATAAAAATAAATACGGCAATTGTCTGTTTGGCATCCTACAGCAAGTATTTGAGTCATCAAGACAATTATTACACACGTTTCCATTTGTACAAACTACAAACACAATGCTTTAATGGACCAGGGGTGATATTGTGGGAAAATGCTGGATCATTTTATGCACAGGATACCATTGTGCGATACACCATGTTAAATTACATTTCAGTTCATTGGAAAGGTGTGATATGAGTATTATAGATCCCCGAGTCTTGAATTCGAATGTGTAAAATAATACGAACCTTGTGAACAGATTCAAGCTCTTTAAGTGCAGTTTGTGTTTTTGGGACCTTGAGCGTTCCCGGAGTAAATATTTCTCGAAGCCTTACAATGCTGTTCCTGGAATAACTTTGTGCAAACTACTACCAATCAAAGCAAAGTTATTTTACAAGTTTCACCAGTCAAAACATAATAGTTGATAATAACCAATGACTACAAGTAGGAATTACCTGAGTAAGGCCCTGAGATGAAATGTCATCATCCATATCTACTGGACTAAGGACGAAAAATACTGGTTAGTGCGGGCAAAACGAAGAAAAATACTAGTTTTTCACTAGCTAACTAGAATTGTTCGTTAAGAAGAGCGTCCTGCCATATTTGATCATAATATATGGGATTGTTAATTTGAAATAGTTTTGTAGTATTGTCAGAATCTTCATTGTTTTAAAATCATTATTATAAGATATTATCATTTACCAGAAAAACGAATTTAATAAAAATTATTGCAAATTGAAGGTGAAAGCATTATCCCTTCTAAGGGGACAGAAATGCTACCTTATACAGAAGAGGTATTTATCATTCAAATTAAGTGGCAGTTCATCAATAACAGCAGCGACTTTCTGTGGGTATAACAATCATAATTAAAAGTAATATCAAAAGGCGAAAAAGAGTGTCAGAAAAGGAAAATCGAAGGAAATATCCCTTACTGGAAGAAAGGAAGCAAACAGGAAAAGTTGGCATACCAACATTTCTTCACATTCAGCGATGAAATAGTTAGCAGATAACTTGGCATTCTCCAGGAAATGTTCCTGGGAGCAAAATTTGTAAATGAGGGATCAGAAAATCCAAAAATAGCAAACCTGAAAGTAATGAAGGTCGATAATCTGAAGTTGTTTCAAGTGGCCTGAACAATTATCTCCAGCACGTGCTAAAAATAATGATGGCTAATATACGGTACAAAATAGTAGTGTAAGAGGCAAAAGTATCATCTATATTAAGTTCCTTATGTTCTTGCGCATTTTGTGGTCTTACAAGATTTCAGCCATGGAACTACCGCACAACACTAAGCAATTTCAGCAGCAATCCCCTGAGGATGCTCCAGTTTGATTTCATATCCCGGTGCTACTGGTCACAATTATATTAACAAGCTTGGTGTAGATTGAATAGAATTAAAAAAAAAAAAAAACTATATTATGAAATCTGAAATTGGGGATTCAGATCCAATGCCACATAATTTCAAAATTCTAGAACTTCTTTGATATTTGGAACCCTCTTTGGAGTATTTAAGTTGTATTCCATAACAAATCTAAATTAGCAGTTTGAAGCATAAGATGCAAATCGATAATGACAGACACCACAAAGAACAGATCCAATGATTAAACAGTTAATTTCTATAGATTTCAAAGATGACACTAAATTCATAAATGTTGTTAAGAACAGGACATGAACTTATTATATGTTTCTGATGGTAGAATACAACCAATAGTTGGCATGAGGTGAAGAATAGTCTCTCCCCTAAAATAACCAGTGTGCAAATAAACATTATGCTTGGCAAGTTTTCAGATAGAAGATTCAAAATGTTGCCCCATCCAAAATATCCAAAAAGAACACATGGACCATATTGAGAGCTGATGCATAACTTACTAATTTTCCAGCCTTTATTCTGTGTGTACTTAATAGGCTAACCCTATAACTAGATGAGTAGAAAACCTGGATAAGTTCTGGCCAAGAATTAAATTTGGCATCATGATGTCACCAAAATCTCTACCCAGAAACAAAAAATAGATCACGTGTAAGTACCAAACCAGGACCCATGCATTGACTCACCAAACCTTGAGACAGTGGAGAGAGAGAGAGAGAGAGAAACCTACCAATATCTGGAGCATACCAAACGTTGGATGGAGACGAGAATACATGAACAAAAGGTCAAAGCTCGGAAAAAGTCCAGCTTGCTGCATCATAAAACATGTCCCACTTTTTAGGTAAAATTATCAAGAGAGTGCATTCTAGTGAAGAGAGAAATTCACCAACCCAGCAATGAACAAATTACCTCAATAATGGGAGATGGGGAACTCAGTGATGAATTAAGTAGAGGTAGATCTTCCGCATCTAGACATGTCACTTCACCAACAGGGAATTTAGATCTATACCTGCCTGCTCTTCCTACAAGAAAATCCACCAGTCATAAATCATCAATTTCCATAAGCTTTGTAAAGCTTGTCATTTCTCAGAGAGAGAGAGTTACCAAATATAAATAAAATTAGAATATGTACAAGAGTAAGACCATTAAAAAATGCAACAACAAAAATATAAACAAACTAAGCCTTGTTCCCAATAACTTTGAAAAAGAAAAAAAAGTCGGCTACACTAATCCTTTTTCTTACTCAGTTAAGTTCATTGCTAGATCTATTCAAAGATCTAAAACAACTAGAATCACAAATTCACCAATATACAATAAATATACCAGCAAGAATCGAATTCCCCCCAACTAACTTTCTCATTATACTTGTCACTCTGAGAGGTAACTAGTCCATGTCCTGTCGCACCAAGCTTATTCTCTCTCAATTATCTTTTTCTATTTTACTTTTTTAATTTTTTTATGAGGGATGGAAGGAGGGAAGTAAAAAAAAAATATTTTTTCATTATCAGAATAGGTACCCTTCTTTTGACACAGCAACACAATTTCAATCAGTAGAGAAAAAAGTGAGGTAACAGTTCTTTCTTCCTTTCTGCTTGCATTTTTTTCTCTTGAGTACCACTACAATAATGTAGACATGCAAACAACATTAACCTTCAAATAATTTCCACCTAAGGATTAAGTACATAAGATATAGAAGTTAAATAGTATGGATTTGGAAGGCAGCATTAGACTAATAGAACATGTCATGAAAAGAACATGACAAGTTGTTAGAATTCATACTCAATTGGACTCTCAAGTTCTAATTATCCTCTCAAAGATGCATGGTGAAACAGAATCAAGAACATTAAGATATGTTCTACAAATGAAGCTTTTTGTGAAACAAGAATCCTGAGAACAAGTTGATGACTTACCTGCAATTTGTTTGATCTCTGAGACGGAAAGGTCCCGCATTTCCACACCATCAAATTTCTTCAAGGTTGAAAATATAATTCTAGATATGTTAAGGTTAAGACCCATCCCGATGGCATCGCTAGCTACTAGAACGTCTAACTCACTGTTTTCATCGTTGAACATTGTCGCCTGCAATCCTAAAGAACGTATTAATTCAGCTCATAGCTGTCAGATGCAGGAATCAAAATGGGTTACATTTTAGAGAACAACTAAGAATCCAAAATAATAGTACATTTTAAAGAATAAACCCTAAGGAGATTAAATTCAATTACATATTGAGAGACTATGAAGTACAAGGAAAGAGCGGAATAATGGAAAGAGGACCCTTGCAATCAGAAACTCAATAAGAAAATAACCTTTAAAGAAAAAACAAAAAAATCTCATCTGAGAGAACTTTTACATAGATGTAAAATAAACTGACCAGAGACAAATGAAGGTAAAGAGTAACAAAACCTGTCTCGTTCGTGTCTCTGGAGGTAGTGAACCATAAACAACAGAACAGAGATGCTTTCCTCCATTTTCAATTTGTTTCTGTCAAAATCAAAGAAACAAGAGGTTCAATCAGGATGTGTTGAAATGTAGTGACAATGCATAGTGAGAAGAAAAATTAAAATTAACTGAATGTGAATGAATCTAATTATATAATCTCAAATTAAAAAATATGAACTTACAAATGTAGGTCAAGCGAGTTTCAATTGCAACCACTAACCAGTTTGGACACATAATTTCTCAAAAGAATCTGGTGATTAGATCACGAGTGATCTTTGATCAATTCTTTGTAGTTTCTTTCTTTGGCTGTGTTTAGTATCTAATTAAGGGCATATTCGAAATAGATTTTGTGAGAAGTGATATTATTTGAAAAATGAGTGCTTAAACAACAGGGAGAAGTTATGGGTCCACGCATAAAATTATTTTGGGAGAATGTATTGTTGAAAATGAGTTCGGATAAAAATGAATTTTAAAGAATCTGTACCAAGCTGGGGCAAAAACTATAAATATAAGTGGTATAATTGTTAGGAATGAGCCCTTAAAGAAGAAAATCCTATATATATGAATTGTAAAATACTATCACTAGGATCGGTTTTCTCCAGTAACTTTAGATCTCCAAGTAGATATAGCAACAAACGATACGGACCAACCCCAAACTTCCCACATAAATACCATTAAATAAATACCTTGAGACCTAAAAACCTTTGGAAAGTTGTTTCAGAATTGTGGTCACACATCGAAGATTATTTTGCAGTAGAATTGGGTTGAAGAATGTGAGTTTTAGAGCACTGCAGTTTTTTCCAGATTTATGCCTTCAAATTTTAAGGTCTACTGCTGAGTAAAAGCCATGATTCCGTGTTTATTGCATCTTGCATGTGTGTGTCATTTAAGTCATTTCTTTCCTTTCACATTTCATTGCCTATTTACTAATTTATCTTTTCCTTTTTGGAGGGTTAGGGATTGGAGGGGAGTGAGCATTACGCAATATATGTAATGATATCTCAAAGGTTGATCTTCCGGACCTTTATCCTGTAAATCTGACGACGTGAAAAGGTGACAATGCAGTCTCCAGTTTTTATATTAGCAAATGATCCAAGAGGAATCTTCAATGGAATAAGGGGTGAAAGCCTCTCATAGTATTGAACCTAAAGGAAACAGGAAACAAGAAATCAACAGCAAAGCAGAAGTGTTTAAACTGAAAAATTAACAGGAAGTTAAGCAGCTCAATAAGACACGTATTCGTTTAACTTCGGAGCAAAATGCCTTTTGCTTTACCTCAAACTACTTATATCCTCCCATCCCAAAATCTCTTACGGAAAGGGAAAACAAAACCCCTTCCAAAAGTAAAATCAGAAAGAAACATACCCTTTCTAATGCAACGCCCACAGGAAAAAAAAATGGTTTAAGAAAAGATTGCGACGTAGCTATTCTTATATTGAAAATAGCAAGATATGATTGACAATAATATTTTCACATATAACTATAGTATATTCTATATTGCTTATTAAACAACATTACTAGAAAGGTCGTAGGTATCTTTGCAGGAACACAGCTTTATATGTCAAAATAATTACAAATTAATCTACAATCTCCACTTGTCACCTAGATGCATCATACTGCATCAAAATAACATCTACTGTCAAAACATGGTCCAAATATAATATATACACCAAATTTTTTGAAATGACATCTTAAGCAATACAAGTTAAAATTTAAAAAGGCTGACAACAATGTAATCTCACCGCCTCTCGAGTGAAATCAAAAGAAAGCTAGAATTTAGATACCTTCACAATGTCGTCTGTCACTTTCAGAATTTCCTGAATTAGAGGAACAGCTGCTGCATCTCCACACAAATGTAATTCGTCAGCAGATATTCCTAATAGAGCTCGTGTAAATGAAAAACCCCTTGACCTACACCCTAACATCTGTGAAGAAAAAAATACAGAGATTACAAGAAATAAATAACATGGATTCCATTGATGATGAAGCAGTTAAAAGTATAAATTTCCTTTTTGATGATGAAGCAGTTAAAAGTATAAATTTCCAAAAAGGTTAGCAGTATAAAATTATAAAAATGTTTCTAAAACTATGCACAAAAAAAAAAGACCATGATTTTGGTGCATCCAATTTGATTCCAAAACCGTTCTCCTTCTTTATAGTTCTTTTTAACTTCTTCTAAGAGATCAAAAGGCTTGGAGGTACAATAGAATTGATTTTAGACCAGGCACGTACATGAGAATTTGTCAACGTTCGCAATAGGCATACAACATTTGGATGCCCCACACCCCAGCCAAGGCGGGTTTTGAAAATTTTCATTTTACACATAGTATGAACTAGCATCATTTTGCAAAGCACTGTAGATCAGTACTCTACCACCTCAACTTTCATGCAGTGTATTGAACTAGCATCATTTTGCAACGCACTGCAGATCAGTACTCTACCACCTCAACTTTCATGCAGCTCATTTACCAGGACCAAACCAAAAAGGGTAATAACTGCCCATGACAAACTGATAGTAAAGCGACTTTCTTGTCTTATATTAAATAATTATATATAATTGCTTCACCATTCCATGATAATATGCTTTAACTAAGCACATTAAAAAGTCAGTTTCAGAAAATCAGTAAAGAAAGCATGGATGACCAAGTCATTTTTCGAAGATTCAAAATTTCAAGTTATATAGTTCCGCCTAAATAAGATGATAGAGAAAAACAAATGAACGCATACTCTATTACATATAAAATAATCAATTAGGACGAATTTCTTAGCTTCTGTGTCTTCAGGGACCAGAAATTTAAGCCATGTATGGTAATTTTAGAAACTTTATCTGCGTTGAGTTAAGATGTTTCTATAAGGGCAGCCAGAACCGCATAAGGGAGGAAGGATATGAGACAAATATCAAATTGAGGATAGAAAATAGAGAATGGAACTATTGTCAATGATGTTGCTTAAAACCTTCGCTATACCAATTGGGAAAAATGGCTTCTTCCTCTTTTGTTCCGTTTATACCAAATAACAAGAAATAATTGAAACATCAAAGGAAGATGGTGCCAGGCATGTGCTATACACGAACCTGAATTTCGTCAACAACAGCACAATCATAATCAGAATTCACATCAGCCATCTCTACAGTAACAGCTTTATGTTTTGCACCATCAACTTCCTCCCTTTCTTGTCCGGTGATAAGATCACAAGGAACTTTAGCCTTATTCAAACGTTTTGCCACCTCCCATGCCAATAGTCTCAATGGCCCACAATAAATACCTGCAACAAGTATTTCATTGGTTTCTCAATTAAATATCAGGGTATGCACCTGAAAGAAACAAACAGAATGTCGAGGATAATAATATGGAATTATTTTCATATGCAATATACCAGAACAACTTGACTCCAGTTGCTTCAATGCATGATATGTTTTACCACTATTTGTTGGACCAACATGTAAGATAATATTTCGTCTTTTTCTTCGAGCCTTTGGATACCACGTATGAGGGCGCCTAAAATTTAAAGCAAAATAAGTACTGAAGAATGTAAGAACAGACTGTGGAAACCATTAACAATATTATTAAAGAACAAAAAACTTTATCTTGGTATCGTGAATCTTACGTAAGATCTGTAAAGTCAACTTTCTTTGCTCTCGTGGAATCGCTGAGCTGCCTAAATAATTGACACATTGTCAATGGGGTTCTAAACTTTGATTCCCCAGAAAGGCAGTAAAACTCCAAATTAACTGACCAGCAGAAAGGGTGAAAGATACGTCATTTATCAAACAACAGAATGGCTACAAAAGAATGCTGTGCTCAGTGATACCTTCGAACACCCAAAAGAACAAAAAATTTATATTCAATATGCATTGACAACAAAAGCTACTAAAGTACTGTACATGCCACATTGCCACCTTATCAGGTAAAACCATCACATTCCTAGAATAATCTTCCCATCAGTATGCACTCATGTAACCACAGTACCCATGGGCACACGACCTTCCTTTCTTCATCTTCTTCTTTTTTTTCCCCGACAAACAAAGATTTACATCTATGTGATGGATGGGACAGGGGCCTATGTACTTACAATTCCCTGAGTAGCTACCAACAAAACTTTACACCGACAAAAATGATTAGATTGTCCTCTGCCCTTATAAAAACAGTTTCATCTGATGAAAATTATATGATCCACCTGCAACTTACATTGCAAGCATAAATCATCATTCCTATAAAGGAATTGGATTAGCAAGTAGCAAGACAACCTATCGAATTCCCAGTAGATCTGGATAACTATAGAGTTAACCGTAGAATTGGATCTTTAACTCTACCCCCAATCTCCTCATTAAAAGCATAAAGTCAACCAGATCTTGACCTTCCACAAGCCAGTACAAACCAAGAAACTGGACTAAAAAGAAAAAAACAAACTGTGTAATCAGAGATGTCGAACGTGATGAGAAGTTGGTGGATTGAGGATACGGAATTCTTTAGGGGACCTGAAACAACAACATAAATATTGTTGTTGCCAGATTTCTCAAGGATACATGAAACACGTTCCTAATCCCTAAGAAAATACATCATATAAATGAATGAGCATGATCTTTAAAACCAGTTATGTAGCCAGATGACAAAAAAATCAAGGTCTCACACGTTACACTTTACGTGCACAAAAATTCAAGAATTCATCAACACCGTCACGCCAAAAAAAGCATAACATATGTTGTCATGTAAGCATAGCCACTTCACCATCTCCATCAAGCAATGCAATCAATCATGCATCTGAGAGCACATGCATCACATTTCTACTGATTACTAAACTTCATACTACGCGACAGATTTTCCATGCTGTTATCAAAATTTCCTCCCTGTTTTTAATTATACTTATTATCAGATATAAAATCAAATGCTAGCTGCTGTTATTCAAATGAAACTTACAATTTCTACAAAGGTCAACCACCACATCATTATTAATTTTTATTCCTACATCATAATATGCTATAACGACCAGCATTTGATCATTAAAATACTATTGATACCAAATGTGAAATTACTTATCATTGTCAATTTAGCTTCGAGTATTACATTTACTCAACAAGACAAAAATGATATGAGCCTCTTCAGCATATATTTATATAAGAAATCGATAATAGAAAAATGGAATACAAAGGACTATTTTTTTTACCTAAGCTAAAAGCCTAAAAGTTTCCACAACACTGAATACTTCATATGTCCTACAGTACATTTAATTACAGATATGCATGAACTTGAACATATATAAGAAACCTTAAAACATACAGCTATAATAGTATAGAATAAGATTCAGATAATTGGAGAAAAGCAGGAGGAAGTCATGTTTGTATCACAAAAACAAATCCAAATAATGATTTCGATTGAAGCATGCTCAAAATAGACAGTGGAAAGAAACAATTTCAGCTTAATTAATAAGAAAAATAAAGCTAAGACCATGATAAAACCTGCATGGTCACTAGCTCTCTTCTTTATAATCACTCTCCGCCAAACTCATTTCTTAAAAGGAAAATAACTTTTTAAAAAACTGAATTCCACCTTGGACCTATCAAAATTATGATTTCTAACTTATAAATTCCTCAATTTCGACTTATTATAACAGAATCTTACGTAGAAGCATTTAAATTCCCCAGAAACTGAGAGGTAAAAAAATGAAAAATAAAACTTCCCACTTGAAGAACCGTTGAAGTAATGTATTCAGATATTTACTTTTTCCCAATTCCTTTTTATTATCAACCGAATTTTATTGCCAAGCATTTTAGTTAACAAGGGAAAAAAGAAGAACGGAGTTTACCAAGTCTACGAGAGGCGCTGTGGTGTGTTAGCCTTCGAAGAAAGATCAAAGACCCCATTTTTCCCTCGTTTTTGTTCTTAATTTCAGATAACTGAAGGTTAAATCAAGTGGAAATTGAAATCATATGGGAAAAGGGAAGCAATAATGATTAAGAAACGGTGAGAAGTGAATATCGAACTGTTTTCATTGATGGATTTTGTGGAGCTGAGGAATTGATGTATCGGTGTTCATGGCGAGTTTTCCGAGCGCCGATTCAGGTTGTGCTCAAAACACTTTTAGTTGTGGGTAAAAAGCACTCCAAGTCACTCAACTTTGAGTCAAATTTCATTTTAGTCATTCAACTTTTTTTCCCTAAATCATTGATATTTCAAATCAATTTCCATGTTTGGAAAAAGCTTAAGATGTGTTTGATAGAGATTAAAATCGAAAAATTAATCGTTATTGTTGACTTTTATTAGACGATTGGAACTCAATAACAGCTATATTTTCAATTTTAATTGAATTTTGAGCTGTACCAAACAAGCTATAATTTTTTAAAAATAGTCAAACATACTTTTTATTAACACATTTCGTAAAATTTATAATTTACTTTTGACTTATTTTCCAAACTTTTAGTAGAAATCATATCTTATAAGCACTTAAATACAATTACAAACACAGTGTTAACACGATCATCGATAATAATCTCATCGATAATAATCTTAGTATCAAAATTTATTTACTTTCCTAAGTATTTTTATGAACATCCTTAGGGATCCTCGAGGTTAGGCGAGGTAGCTTGAATCTTAGGGCGCTTTCTCTACTAAAATTTTGAAGCTTATGGTGTTTTTTCCCTGCTAAAACCACTCCAAATTGATTATATGAACATTAAGGTATATTTGGTGAACAATTAATTTCCACCAGCTCAAAATATCACCACTTGTTTCAGTCCCTGCTAGACAATTATTTTTTGAGGGAAAAAAAAATTGAATAATAATTTTTAGGAGAACTTCTGGTTAAAAAAGTTTTGAACTTACGTGCAAAATATTTTATTGTATGAATGTGTGGTTAAAAATAAATGCGCATAAAAAATAATTTTCAAATAATGATTATCTAACAGGGTTCAATCTCGTCTTCTCTTATCAAATCCATGCTTTTACTTTAATAATTTTTTTAAAGAAAGACATGGATAATATTAACTTAATTTTTAAAAAATTATATATTGTACGAAATTATAAAATTATTATGTTAAAATTAAGAGAACAAAATTAATTTATAATCTCAATAACGTGTACACGTGAAAATATAATTATCTAGACAATTTCATAACGTTGTTTGTCTATCATTATTTTATAAATTTTTTTTTTTAAAACTCTTTTTCAACACATTTTCACAATAAATTTTTTTGCATGTAAAACTTAATTTTTTTTCCTATTTCTTGACCACGCATTCTCCAAAAGTTAACTATTACTGAATTCATTTTTCTCAATAATGGAAATCAAACATAGGCTTATGTTGTTCAAAAAAAATATCCATGCTTTGAAAACTTTTACATCTTTTTTTAGCCCACTGACTTGACTCATGAGTTATCCTATTGCTTATTGAGTTGGCACTGAGATTGAATTTGATAACTATAACAAAAAGTGCTCTTATTTAAATGTTTATTTTTTAAGAAAAAGAAATGGCATGTTTGAGGTCCATTTTTTTTTTAAGTAGAATGCATTTTGAAATGATAGGTTGATGGAGAATGTATGGTAAAAAAATAAAGGAAAAGTTTTTCGATTGCGTGTAATATTATTTTATTGAAAAATGTGTTGTTCAAAAGAAGAGAGAAAAAAATATAATTTGAAAAAAAAAAGATCAAACTTCAAACAAGGTCTAAAAGAGTCGTACTATTTTGATTAAGTAATACATTTGGGGCTGTCTATTCCAGATTTTACATAGATTAAAATCACAAAAAGGAATGTTAGTGGGGCGCGCCCGAGAGAAAGGAAGTCAATTGTTGCGGCTGAACGGTCTGATTTGTGCTGAAAATCCTTGCAAACAGTTTCACCAGACAGCCCCTTGATCTACAAACGTACAACTTGTCAGGGGAGGAGGGACCCCCTAATTTTTTGACAAATTTTTTTTTTGTATTTACAATTTTGTCCTCACCATTAATAAAATTAAACCCTACCAATCCAATTTTACCGATTCTTTCTCTTTCGTCTTTAGAACTAGGCTGCGGCGAGGTGATTCTTCTCTACTTGGCGGGCTGCGGCGATATTCTTCTTTTCCCAATTAAAGATAAGTAATTTCTTTTTTATACGTTTCTTGATTTTTATTTTTTTTGTTAATAATGTACATTAATTTATGTTACTTTTTTTCCTTTTTTTCATCACAAAGTACCAATTTTCCTCATTTTAAGAGATAATGTTTAAAAAAAAAAAATTCGGCATTCAACGCTGGGATCCCCCTACTTCGACGGGCTAGCTCCGCCCTTGTAAACTTATCAATACAAAAGGGTGTTGAATTATTAATTATTACCTTATAATATTTGTCCTTTGCCAAACTATCATTTAAAAAAAAAAATCACAAAATATCCTTTATTGGCCAAATTTAAGGTTTAAACTGCTTTTCTTTTTGGTAATTACTCAACGCCATTGATTATTATCATTTTTTTAAACCTAGATTCAGTGGTGTGACAAGCTTTCTTTCTTTAATTATGGTACCCCGTACAAATGACATCAATCCCAGCATTCTCATTCTCAATATTTAAGGTTACCCCTTTCACATCTCCGACAAACTCTCTCTCGTAGGAACTAATAGAAAGTAAAAGTTAGTTTGACAACTTATTGATCAAAGAAAAAGAAAGTCCCGACTTCGAGAACTGTTTAACAAAAAATTGTCACGTACAGTTCATTTAAGAAAGGTGTGACAAACCACGTGGGGCGTCATAACTCGTCCCATATTCATTAATTCATCAATTGTAGTCGCTTAATTACAAGAAATTATACCTTTATTCCAACATCAAGTATTTTACAAAAATTGCAGTATTTTATTTTAAACAAGAGCACCACCTTTGACATACTCAGTAATAGCCAATGCAACCAAACCCAACATAGCAAATCTTCCATTCCACAACTCAGCATCAGACGAGAACACCCCATTCGATTCCGATTCCTCACTAACCCCTTTGAGCAGAGGAATCAAAGAAGCAGCACTTAGCAAAGCAGAAGTCGCTATGAACAATTGAATTCCACCATTTTGTATCTGTGCAAACACGTCCTGACCATTAGCAAGCTCAACACCAATGGCCGTTACGAACCCAATCATCGCGAGCCGACCGTTGATCCTCTCCGATCCCGGCCCACCGAAGGCTAGTATGTCGCCAAAGTTTTTACTAACCTGTCAATATTAAAAAGTGAATCACAATCATGATCAATTATTATTTGAGACTAGTAGTAAGTTAATCTCTAACCTTTGGCTTTGACGGGACTGACTTCGATGGAGCTGCTGATTCTGACGGCTTTTTCTGTTAAATTCAAAGTCAAGAAAATAGTTTCGTCAATAATTGTATACCAAACGTGTACTTAAAATTTATGCGCGAAACAAGATTAATTACCTCTGCCATGCTGCTGACTTGAAAATCGACATTCCTCTTGAGACTTGGCACATAGCTGGGAACAACAAACTGTTTCAGTGCAGTTCTCTTTGTAAGTCCCGTGGCTGGGCTTAGTAACATAACGCTTGATACGGCAGCCATGGTGTGCATTCGAGGGGTACGAGAAAATTACCAAGTATACAAAAATTAGTAACTAAGGAAAGGGAGATTCAAAGTATTGATACAAAAGATTTCTTAGTATTTGTCTTGAGTAGGCAGG